ATATATATATATATATATATTGATTATAACATATAATCATGCGCAAAAAACATCACGTACTCGTTTGCTGTTTTAAGATTAATCTACGTTTATCTTAAAATCTTACACGCAACCTCGATTTTGATTCTAATCTACATTGTACGTATTGTTCAATTTTGTTAAAGGCGAATTGCTTGTCCAAGTCGTAAATTTTTTAATATTACTTCTTATCTATCCATAATCACTTCTTATCTCGCCCATTGTAACGCCTTCCACATCAGCTTCCTGTGCCTGTTCGCTCAATTTTCATTGTGGTTTATACATGTGCGCGACCTTGGTGCCTCAAATATACACTCTTACTTTCAGTAAACCAAAGAAAAATTCTTCGTACCGATGTCGAGGGCAATGCGTCAATAGCGAGGTCAGATTTCTATCAATGTTATCCTTCAGGTAATCTGTTTGCAATATGTTAAATCAAGTGTTATGTTCGCATCTTGACTATCAATCACATTGTATGCATGTTACGTCTGTTGAATCACTAATAATGAGTTCAATAGCCTTCACTACAATAAATTTCTAAAATACCGAGAAAAATCTATTTTTACAATTTTTATTAATTTGTTATAATATTCGTAAAACTCAACTTTTATTGCGAAAGTGAGTGCGTTGACCGACAATGCTATATTAAACTTTGCACGTCGCACCATTAAAGACTCTTTTATACTTGCTTCTATACGCGCAAATAATAATATCCATACATTATTCTGACTCGTTTAATCTCTGATTGCAATCACAAAAAAGTATAGAATCATCACAATCACACGCGGCGCGACACTTGTTGCGCTTGATGCAACGTTTAATTCGTTTGATTATAATCTTTTTTCAGACTGTTATAAGACCTTCTTATCTGTCTGTCTGATTACTCTATACTATTTCGATACGCTTTGTGAACTTTTTATTGAAAACTTTTTTCTTATTTATTTTGAAAATTTGGAATTGCTGTTTTTATAAAATAACACACCTTTATCACTATATTATAATTTTTTAAATTGATTTGCTAAGGTTCATTGTATTTAATTAATTAAATCCAGAATTATTTTTTGTCATTATGTTACATGATGTTCCTTATAAAGTTCTCTATTATATTTTTGTTATTGTATATGGCTTCAATGACATTATTGTTATCAACAAGTGCCATAGCTGATATAGCTCTGATATGTGAAATTTAAAATTTTCCTAAGGGGAAACCACTATGTGCCATAGCTGAGAGCTCTGATATGCGAAGCTAAAAATTTTCCTAAGAGAAAGCATTATCTGCCATAGCTGACAGCTCTGATATGTGAAACTAAAAATTTTCCGAAGGGAAACCGCTACGGACTTCGGATTGAGGTCGATTTTCGGGGCACTCGGTGACGAAACCGACACGGTCTCTGCCCCAGGCTCGTGCAAGAAGCCCGATGCCAAGAATAAAGGGACACACGGAACGGCATTTCAGCAGCGGCAAGCGAACAAGCCAGGAGGAAGTAGACAGCCTTCGAGTGGTTGTTGCGCCGAGTCCACCTCGTCTTTGCCGACACCGTTTCAGTCGTGCGTGAGCAGCGGACCGTTGCGCGTACTTGTAGGAACGGCGACGATCAGCGACACCATCCATGGGTTACCAGTACCCACGTCCCATTCTCTGGATATAACTGAACTGACTGAATCAATTGCGAAAAGGTACGTGTGCTACGGCTTTTGTCGCCGACCTTTACTCTTGCAATACATTCTCCAAGAGCGTCGATCCGCCGGTTTGTTGTTGACCTTTCCTTTCGCGTGTCTCAGTATCCACTTGTGATCACGGATTCACGGTTCGTAATTTCGCATTAAATGATGTATGAATCATACCTTGAGAACAGAAAGAAAGCGTGCATTGCAAAAAGCGCACACGAGGATCCTGTGTTCTAAAGGATTATTAGCGTGATACAGATAGATTAAAATTAAATTTTGACATATACTAATCTTTGTGCAAAATCATGTTGACATCATATTTTATTTACAATAACTGATAAATAAATTGCGATAATTTTGCAATGACATCATTGCCACAGTTTGCGAAACACTTCCAAAACAAAACTAAAGCCGCGCGAATGTAATTTTTGCGAATGATAATTATGAAATGCGCGCGCAAACTCGATTATATACATAATTTCAATGAGGATTATATTTCATTTTTAAAAATGTCACGTAAAATTATTTCATAAAAATTACATTTTTAATACTTATTTTGATAATGTCAAAAATTAGAATTTATTGCTTTGTATTTTGAACTTTGCTAAAAATATGAATTTTATTACAAATGATTACCTGCATTTATTTAACAATTATGTGATTTAGCATTGTTATTTTTTATTATCTATTGTGAGTTTTATTATATTTAAATTTTATGTATACAGTCACATGATAACTCATCAGGTGAAGAATATCTTTTTCGAATGTTATCAAATATGCATAGTGTTCGAGCGTTTACACAGCATTGCTTTTTATAGCAATATTTGTCATACATTCTTTATGCAGATAAGTTATTTGCAGACAGTTTATACGCAAATACATTCATACCGTTTATCAGCTCTTTTTCCGCCCAGAAGGTATTGTTTCCAACTTTTCTCAAGCGTCATACGATTTTCTGGCAAATTCCCATTACGTATGATGACGCATTAGGCCTAGTACCAAAATAAGATTGTTTACAAATCCAATTATTTATGATTTGATTGGTATAAGATCTATTGCGCTTTTGCTACGTGCGATTTTGCGTATAAATGTTTGCCAGTTCTAAAGCAAAAGCGGAATAAGATTGGGTGCCCGATTGTGCTTTAGGCAATAAACACCTGCTGGTCTCCCGATGTATCATGTACAAATCACGTGATAGAATTATGAATTGCATCGTTTATTATGCCCCGGTGCACCTTGATAAATGTTAATACGCGGAAAAAGGCATCTCTTGTGCTTCAAGGATAGCGAGTATAATGATTTTGATCGTCGATTGCGACAGATTGCGGTTTTACGTCAAATTAGCGGCAATAAATAATGAAAATAAGGAATGATTAAAAAAATTTCCGCTTAATAGAAAATATCCCAGTCCGTTGCAATTATTATTACGTGAGTTATTTTGAAACACAGTTTTATCTACTTTATACAGCGTGCATTCTTCATACGTTGAATCGCGATTTTCGATAAGGGTAGCAAGAAATGATGAATGCGGTCTTATCGTATGATGACGTTGGTTTATCGTATGATGACACTCTGTCTCATGATCATATCAACTTTTTTGTAATGCCTTTTTCATGCAATACTTATATAAGTGAGTATTATAATATTCTCGTGTGTCTCTGAGATAATTTTTAAACGCTAAAATAAAATTTTATGGATTCAGCATTTCAGAAAAATAAAATTTTGCTGATTTATTTTTTTAGCTTTTTGAATTGTTTTCATCATTTTATCACGTTTCACATTATAGGCTTATTATTGAAACATGTCATTCTCTTATTCGGTACATTTTCATGTATCGTTTTATATAATTATCTAATCACAGTAATTCAGAATTTAAATAGAATCACGATTCTGACTTCGTGTTAATATGTCGCAATTTTTAGCTACGAGGCTGATAAATTTTAAGGAATGCCACTATCATTTACGAGAAATTGTAAACAATTTTGTCGTCTTTGCGATGTTTCATAATAATTTTTCACAATAATAATTCTCATAATAATCAATTTTATTCCCTTCTTTTCGTTCACGAAAGCAAAAACATCGAATCGTTATTGGCGCTTTGACGCAATCATGGTTTGCGTTTGATAAAAGCACACACGTGATCGGCCGAAAGAGCGCCGGCTTCTATTTTGGTGGTGTCGTCGCCAGGGCATTGCCAAAAAGTGAATTCGGTCAAAGCAGACGCTGCACTTCCTTAAGTGAGACACGTGACGGTGATTCCGATTGTTTGATCTCTAGCAATTGTCTGAGCAGCGTCTAATCGTCTATGTGGGATTTGTAAATGTGAGTTTGATTTGACATTAATCGACATAAATTCGACAACCCTATTACGATAATTCCGTGTACAATTATCTTTGTTGTCATAATTTGAGAGATTAAATTTGATTAATTGGATGACATCTCTCTACTTAATGCTATTTTACTCCACTTTAACCAAAGTGATGTGAACGGTCGGCACCTTAAAAAAGCGTCTGACAAATTACGAGATAGTTACGGCGATTGCATTAACTGGATAAGTACGTTGTCAGCATGTTTACCATGTGATTGTATATTTGACTTACAATAAAAAGACTTACAATCTCCAAGATTTTAATGATTATCACAAGTGCTCTTATCGAATTATTGAAAGCGTCACTTTGTTGAGATATCTTTCAATGGTAAAATTGATCTATTTAATTTATTTGACACGCGTAATCCACTGTTTTGATTAATCGTTTTTTTAATTAGAGTTCTGTAAATAATCCCCGAAGATTTAACAGCAACGATAATACAATATACGATAATACAACGATAATACAAATGTTATGTTAACGTTTCGCTATGTGCATTTGCCTCTATATACAATAATCACACTTAAATCACTTAATGTGCACAAGTATAAACTCAGTTATAAATTTTAATGAAAGTATAATTTTGCTTATACTACTTGATTTTCACGTTATCGAATTAAACGGAACTAATATCGAATAACTAGCTCAAGTACATAATAAATACTTTGGATTCACAATAATGGTTCTGAGAAGGGTAAATGCTCTATTAACTTTCAGAGAAATCTCATTGTCACGCCCCGTTGCATTCGCTCCGAAATCGCAAAGTCCATTTGTCTGCGTGTCGCAGTCACTTAGTGATAAAATTATATCGATCAAGTAAATCACGCATGACTATGCAAAATGACATGGATACAATGATTCGATATTGCTAAGAAAATAATAAAATATGAAATAAGTAATAAAATATAAAAATAAATAAGATGTAACAAATGGAGCCTTGTTGCAAGCTAATATAAATGTGCATCGCAAACATTCCTAAGATTCCGCTTGGTCGAGATGTTTGCGTTAGGTATTAAATGTCTCAGCCTTGCATACGGTTGTGTTTTTATTTTTGTCATCTATTTCGTTAGACATTTATGTAGCGTAACTTTTAGCATGTGCATTTACATTACTATCTTTACTTTGCCTCTTTGGAATTTTTCCTTCTGTTTATACATGGGATATCTAGAGCAGCGGAAAGCATTTCATAATTATCTGCTTAGTCAGCGAAATTGCTTGCACTATCTTGTGAAGCGCTTCAATCCGGTTAAGGGTCACGATCCTTGATCTATCGACGCGAAAAGCAATAATAGATTACATATCGCACATAGTGCAAATACATTATTTAATACGATTAATACGGACAGTCGTACCTCTTCTACATTTTTACACACATTTTTACACACTGCTTAACTGTAAACCCACGGCATCAATAATGATTGATAGAACGCCGGCAATTGAGTAACGTTCGTTACATAAGTAACAGCTAATAGCATTGACGATATTTGCAATTCTCGTTGCGCGTTATCTATTGTCAAGTATTGATATAAGAGCGTGAGGTAATTGCGTGCATTCTGTGACTACTCGCCACCGGCTATGTTTTGTAATTGTTTCACATTTTTTGTTTTTTTCCCCCTAATTAGCATTTCGCGTATAATAATCGATTAGACGCGGCGCATCGTAAAGCACTAAACTATGCGCCGTAAATAACTCGTGTTGTTTCACTTGTGCCGGTGTCAACCCGGTACTTCACATGGCGCCGAGCATACAGTTTACATTAAGTAATAGCTGTAACCTAGAGAATTTCTTGATTAGGCTCGTTTTACATCATTAAAAGTAAGTGGTGCAGGAAATGATTACCGGTGTCTTTTACATGACTGATTAATATATAAGGTCATCTCTTTTTATTTCACTTGAAGAAACGCCGCCCGTTAATGCGATTGTACACTTCCGCATTATGAAATTCTTTCACGCGACTACATGACTAGGAGAATCGTGCTGAACGTATTTTTAAGGAAAGACGCCAATTTGGAAAAGACAGTGAAAATGTGCTGCAAATTGACATATATTCTGTCTGTGATTAACATAACTTTAAAATTTAATAGAATATCTCCACATTGTCAAAAATATTTAATTTTATAAATAGATAATTAAAAGAAAAGAACGTGTTTAGTTTTAAAAGTACAAAAAATGTTTAGTTTCAATAAATATAAAGAATGTTGCCAATGATTATTATTTTTATAAAGTAAGAAAAGGATATATAATTTTATTTGGTTTTGATTTAATTAATTTGATTTAATTTTCAATAAATTTGTGTTACTTACAATTTTATTACGGTACATGTGTGTGCTAAGATTTCTATCATCTATGTTTTAACTAAAAGATATATTTATGTTTTAACTAGAAGATAAAATCAAAAAACAAAATAATATGTTAATATATTGATGTCTCCTCTATATATATTTATATGTATGTAGAAAGAAATTTAGAAATTGGAAGGAACAAAGATTAGATGTAGCACAAAATTTCTTTTGTCATTCCAAAAATTTTCCACTTTTACATCAAATACAGATCGACGAAGACATTCGTTACAAACAGACAAAGTTGCTTATAATTATTGCGACGATTTTTATACATATATAATTATGATTATGTAGAAAATCAGTATTATCATATTATATATTACATGCTCGCATGTGTGAGCGCCCCCTCTTTTTTCCCATTCAACACGTGTAATCTTTGTCATAGGATTAAATACTGTGCACGCTATGGATTAATTAAGGAGTCAATCAGTAAAGAGACTTACAAGGCAACTTGCGTTCAATTGACAGACGACAATATGTTGTTAATAATGGAATAATACCGAGAGTCGTGATCGCCTTCGATCTATTTCTACTCGCTGTAATTAGCTTTTCAGCGAAAAAAAAAGGAAACTTTATAACAAAAGTACAAAACGCAAACTCGTAGAAGTACACTCGAGCAATACTTTGAGCTGATGACAGTTTACATTTCGCCTATTTGGCACTCAAATGATTGTGTATACAGGGTGATTCAAAATAACCTGATGTCCTTGCAATGCCATATTCTTGAGCGAATTCTGAGACGATTTTTCCTTTTACAAAATTTTGTCCGAAGCTTAGTTTTCGAGTTATAATTGAAAATAGTTTGCTACTTACGAGTCCGATACAACGGACAGGCAGGGACGAGGCAATGCGTCATGAGACGATAGTAA